GTCCCTTCTCCGTTCTGTGATGGGGACGAGGAGGAACAGGCGGAGGAGGAGGACAAGGTCGAAGAGGAGGGAATACCCGGTTGTTTTGTAACTTCCTAGTTTGTTTTGTAGCTTCCTAGGAGAGTTGTTGGGGCCTCTCAGGGGAGCCTCTTGGGGCCTCTGTGGGCTTCCTGGAGGGCCTCTTGGGAGCTTCTCGGGGCTGAGGGCTCGAAATGTCCGTTCGGGTCCCCCGTCTGGGCGCTCTCTTGGAACCGTTTTGGGGGCCTTTTGTGAATCTGGGAGGCGTCTTGGGCCTCTTGGGGCACTTTTGGGCCGTTTGGAGACCCTCTCGGAGGCCCTTTGGGCCGTGTCGGGGCGATCTTAGGAGCCTCTTGGGCCGTCTTGGCGCGTGGGGAAGCGGAAGAGGCGAAAACGCCAAAAATCCTTGAAAAACGTATGGGAAATCCATGATTTGTACCTCTTGGGGCTCTCGTGGGCACGGTCCTGGAGGCCTCTTGGGGCGTCTCGCAGGCCTTTTGGGCCGTCTGGAGGCCGTCGAGGCGTCTTGGACAGATCATTCGGCGATTCGGCGCCCTCTTGGATCGTCTTGGTGGCCTCTCTGGGCACTCTTGGCCCGTCTTGGGATTTTTTTGGGCTCCGGGATTCCCCGGGGGGGCGGCGTAAAAACCCGGGGCCCCCCCCGGGACCCACCCCAGGGGGCGGCGTAAAAACCCGGGGCCCACCCTGGGACCTCCCCCCCCCCCCCGGCGGGGAAGGGATCAAAGGGAAGGGGCTTCCCTTCGACTCAAGTACGACGTTGCTCAATTTCGCCGAGGAGGGAACAGACGGAGAAGCCTCTTCCACACGCCGACAGGGTCGGCGGATTCCTTACCGCCACTTGGCACCTCTCGGACGTGTGCGTTTTTCTCGGCCAGGAAGGACCATCGAGGAGCATCTTGGATCATCTTGCGAGAAAAAATGCACGAAACCGAACAATGCACGGGGAATGCGACGGCGAGGCCAATGACATTCACTTGGTGGTGCACCGATCCCTCGGCCTGGGTGAGGTGTGCTGCCCTACGCGCTCTTCGTTTTGTGTCTTCGTCCCTTGTGCATTGCTGGCTACGGAGCGATTGGGGCTGTCCCGTCGCCACACCCAGTCGGGTGTTCGCGGGATGAGGCAGGCGCCCGGCGACCGCCACCCCTTTTGTCTACCAGCCCGTCTCCCGACAGCGCGGTGGCGTGGCAACACCTGTTGGGTTTGAGTCGGGCCTGTCCCTCTACAGGGGGAATATCCAAAAATAGTAAAAAATAGTAGGGGGACGATTCTTTGACGATTTATGAGTATTAGGGGGATCTTTTTTGAGTATTTTTAATTTTTCGCCCAAAATCCCCCTGTAGGGGGACTGGCCCGACATAATGTTGGGTCTGAAGCAGCGAGGGTCCTGGAAGGGGTGGCCATGCCGGGGGGCTGCGCGCAGACAGCCCCAGTTGCAGTCTTGGCTGGCCTCGACAGCTCAGCACCTGAGCCTGGGGGCCTCGCCGGAGGTGGCGCCGGGGTGGTGAAACCGTTCTGGACTGCCTCGGGCGCCTGTTGGGGCCAGCCCCTGGGCTGCTGGGGCCAGCCCCTGGACTTCAGCGGCCGTCCGTGCGGCAGTCTGTGCCCGCGCAGCCCGAATCCTCATCAGGAAGCGGTGGGAGAGAGGGGGAGGGGAACGCCTTGATAGAGGGCGACGGACGCGGGGGATCACGGGATTTCATGGTTTGCTCCCTCAGGACCCCGCTGGTCTGGAGTCCAGCCTGAGTCTTCAGGGCTGCACGCTCCCTGGGACAGGGGCTGTGAGCGCTCGTGGCCCTCTTTGGGCCTCCACGGGCGCCCCTCGTGTCCACAGTGTGGCGCAGCTCGACCATCTAGCCAGGATGGGCCCCGGAATGGGTCCAGGAATCTGTTCGGGACGGACTGTTTGGTCGGGGGCGGGGCGAGGGGGGCGGCCCTCTACGACCCCCCCCCGCCTCTTGGAGACTGGGGCGCAGGGCCGCGGTCTTCCGCTCAGGCGCCGTCCCTTCGCCGCTGTGTCCTTCCTCTGGCCCTCGCTCGCTCGCCTGTTCGGGCCCTCGTTCGGTCCCGCTGCTGCCTGCGAGTTCGCGCTCAATTCTGACCCACGTCCAAAACGAAAGTCGGAAGGATGCCCCCGCCACCCCATCTCGCTCAACGCTGAGAACTGGCGGCGCCGGCCGGTGCTGGCGGAGGGACCCATGCGCCCTGGCAGCCGGACGCCCTCCGGGCTGCGGCGCCTGCGGTCCTGGCGGTGCGCCTCCCGTGCCGGGGGGCATCACATGGCCACCTCGCCGATCCTGGCCGGGCAGGTCATGAGCCCAGGATCAGTGTCTACGCCCCCCCGCGGGGCAGGCCAGGAGTGCGTACACACCGATCCTGGGTCCAGGATGGGCCTGGCCAGGGCTTGTGAGGTGGTCGGCCGACGCCCCCCCGAGCCGCGAGTCCAGCGGCGGAGGGCGCAACGCCAGGACCCAGGGAGCTGCGCCGCTGTCCGCTGCACCAGGGAGGGAGGGAGTGAGGTAGGGAGGGTGGGGTCGTTCGTCGTCGTCGCCGTCGTCGTCGCCCTCCTCGTCGTCGTCGTCGGCATCGGCGGCGGCGGCGGCGTCGTCGGCATCGGCGTCGTCGTCGTCGGCGTCGTCGTCGTCGTCGCCTCTGCAGGGCGGAGGCCCCCCCGCGAGCGAGCGCCCCGCCGCGGCTCGAGGGCAGCCAGGCCGTGCGCGCGAGGGGCAGCCCGCACGCCGCTGGGGGGGGGCCCCTCTCCCGCCCGGAGCTCAATGGGGCTTTCCAAGCCG